TTCTTTTAACCATCTGGGCTCTTCAATTTCTTATGTGCTCCGATAGAAAGAGTTGGTTGGTGTGTGAAACCAGATGTAGAGATGAACCAGTGTGTAGTTTATTTTTTATCTATAGGAGGAACAAAGAATGAGAGAAAGCTGGAAACAGTGAACTGAGGAGTGTGATAGAAAGAGACTGAACAGATTACTGTTAAAGGTCACTCTTCTCTTGACAAGCGGTGACATCTGATGTGAAGCATTTATGTGTGTGCTGCCTTTTTTTTTTTTTATTTAATGGCACTCTATTGCTGCCATATGCCTGGGAGCAGCTAAGCCTGGCCGAGGCCTCTGAGGGGAAGGCCTTATGAGTCTAATAAGACAGCAGAAGAAGACAAAAGCTCCTCTGAGACCTAATTTGCAAACAAATAAATACGAAGAGAAAAGAGACGAGGGAAAAGCCACATGTGAATTCTCCTGCAGGAGTATTTTTCTATCCCGAAATCCACATTTATTCCTCCTCTTTGTTTTTATGGTGATATGGCAGAAGAAGAAAAAAAGGTTGTGAACCAAGAGCAAAAGCCGCATCGCTAAAAATGGAACATGGATTTTAAGTGTGGCTTTTCAAACGCTGAGTTACAAGTTATGATTTTCAGTAGGGAATAAGTGGTAATTAGCGTGCTGGGTGTTGCCACGTGAGTGGGTGTATAAATAAATAGAGCTCAGGGGTGGGAAAGGCAAAGAAGCTGCAAAACACAACCTGGGTTCAAGAGAACACCACTGCTTCTGTCACTGCTGCCGTTCACATGATCAGAAAAGCCGAAGCCCTCTCATAGAGCGAAGAAGAGGCACAAATTTAGAAGTAGAACAAGTTGATTATTTCTCCCCACAGATGTTTGTGCATTTTACACATTCACAAGACTTTCCTCCCCTTTTTAGATCCGTTTTACAGCTTCCTTCTTGGCATGTATGATAGCTTGGTGAGGGAGATGTTGCACCAAAATATCTAAAAGTTTGTACTGCGATTGAGCAGCAGCACAGATAAAAGATAAGGAGGGGTTTGAAGCCCTAAGCTGTCTTTGTCCTATTTGATTTACAACTATCGGTGGCAACAATTCTGTCCCTGTGTTTGACAGGCTGCTTTTCAACCCGCCTTCAGCTGTTGCTTCTGGGAATGACTGTAAACCACCCCCAAAGACAAAGTCAGACAGCATGTTGTTTGAATGATCCGGGGGGGGGGGTTCCAAAAAAGCAGCTCTTACAAACAGACATTGAAAACAAAAAGACGGCACAAGATACTGAAAAGCAGTTACTGAATCTCCTGTTCATTCACACTACTTTTCACCCACTTACACTCTCGCTTATTATAGTTGGTTTTCTCCAAATGCCTCCATTGTTTTCTCAGATTTTGCTTTCTGACGGTGTTTAAAGGCTTTAAGTCAGACATTTTTCCCCCCTCTACAGTTCTACTCTTACTTTTTTCCCCTCTTTCCATTAATACTGTTGACTCCCGGGCCATCTCATCAGATTACCCAGCGGTTTTAGGAGGAAATGTCAGGTCATACCACGCTGACTGTCTTTGAGTTTTGTTGACAGTTCCTTCTGACCCCACTAGCTGCTCCTCTGCAGGACGGCAGTTCTCTGGAGAAGAGAAATCCCATCCATCTCAGTTGCCGAAGAGGCGCGCATAAAAGACACCAAAGTGCTTCACAGTAATTTCACAGCCATCAGCCTTCATCACTATGAGAGGGCAGTGGGTTCAGGATGGTGCGAACCACGGGCGAAGAAATGGACTCACACTCGGGATCCAGCACTTTCCTACTCACTGCTGCTTTCACACATCTTGAGACAGACACTCAAAATTTGCATTTACGTAAGCTCAAATATTCTTCCTTCTCTCTCTGTCACAACCACACAAAAACTTTTTGCATACACACACGCGCACACACACACACAAACATTCTTAAACATAAATGTACAATATACCCTCTGCAGTTTCACCATACCCGTCCCGTGTCTCTCACAGTCTGGTGAGTCTGCTTCCTCTCTCAGCAGACAGGAAGTTATAATGACAAGAATACGCACGGATGCACACACACACACACACACACACACTTAAATGCAAGCATAACACCTGTACACCTGCATCTACATAGATTTTAATAACAGTCAATATAATAAAGCTTGAAAATACACAAAAAACTTCATTTATAAAGCATGCATAGGAGTTATCACACATAATATTGGTTATGTCCTCACACAATCACAGGCCGCCTCCAGCCAACGCGCTCTGAAGCTCTGACCCAAACCACAGGGAGAGAAAAAAAAGAGCAGGCAAAGAATCGCAGGAAGCAGCTCGCCTACTCCAACCAATCAGGGATTAAACATGACTCAGCCCAGCCTCTCATCTTATTGTGGCCTTGAGGCTGTTAGAGCAACTCCTGGGTCAAAGTTAGTCTCTCTGTATTTACTTCTCTCCCTTCCGTCCTGTTCATGAAAAAGAGGTGATGATGGCTACTTTTGTTCCCAGCCTCATCGCCAACTCGCTGCTGCTAGCGCCGCCTTTGTAGTCATTCTTTAGGCCGACCAGGGGTTTAACTTCTGTCCAATAAACAGTCCTGATTTCTAAAAATGCCTCAACCTTTTCCCATCATTTCATCTACTTTCGATTTCCTTATATATATATATATATATATATATATATATATATATATATATATATATATATATATATATATATATATATATATATACACACATATATATATATACATACACACACACACACACACCTTTTTGAAATGACACTGTCATGTAACATTTCTTTAAAAAGGGTGCTGTGTGCTGGAGCAGCACAGTGTGTGGACTCATGACGCCTGATCGAGCATTTGGGGACCAGAGGGAATGAGAGAGGAGATTATCAAGCTCCTAAGCTAGCCAGCTGCCACTGGAGCTGTGTGGGCAACACTACATCCTGTCTCCCTTTTTTTTTTTTTATCCTCCCTGCCTCTTTCATGGTCACTCTCATTAGACAGTAGTGATAGCAGACATCTCTATACGGAAGTACTGCAGGACATAAGGAGAAGGAAAGGGAATCAAAAGCAGAGAACCATCAAAAATCATGCACACTAAATTTGGAAAATTCCTTTTCTCTCTGCTGGCATGTTATTCTGACAGTCATGATGGTGGAGCTTTTGTACACCTGAACCACCTGCAAGCCCTCTTATTAATTTTAAACAGTCTTCAGACTCTGATAATAAATTTATGCTTAGAGGTGGTAATCGTAGCTCGTTGTATAGCACAGTCATGACACAACTGTGTCACAGAAGAACATGAAGTCTTTTCACTTTTGCTAACTTCATCCTAATCCATTTGCAACAAGGAGTCACATTATAGCAGCTCCTGCAAGTCAAAGCATTAACGCTCAATTAATTAGTCAGTTTATCGATAACTGCATCAGAAGGAGAAGGGACACAGTGTACAGTCAAAGCAATAATGTATCCCCCGTCTAGCTGTATTGAAATTAAAAACCTCCTTTTTCTACTCTTGAAAAATTGATCAGGAATTTTTGTATGTGTGCATCCTTAACATGGAGGACACAGCTGAAGAGTTCAAAAAGAAATCTATCAGTGGTGTACAAATACTCATTCGTTCTGACACGAGTAAGTGTGTGACAGCAGACAAATGTTTGTTGCTGTTAAACCATCCCTGAAAGGGACCTGTCAATATTGATGAGTAGACATTGTGTGTTCCTTGCTTCCTCGTGTGGTTTCTCAAAACCAATCTAAAGACTCACACGATCAGCCCCAACATCCTGGTGCAGTCTAAGTGCCTCAGCAGACCTTCTGGGAAATACACACAGCGCAGCAGTTTGCAATAAAAGCCCCGAAATGATGCTCAAACCATTTCTCACATCACGCACAACAATGAAACCAGCAACAAAAACATCAAAGATTTTCTTTTTCAGTTTTACCCAATTAAGTAACTTCCTTTTGCTTACACCAAAGTTTAATTTCGGCTACACGCCGTGATAAAATCCAGCAGACCCCTGTAGACATCACAAGACTTCTAGTGTCTCACACTCCAGCTGGAGCTTAGACGTGCCAGTGAACAGTCCACGTGTGTGTACAGGCACAGCAGAGTAGCTTCAGCCTTGTAAAAATTATTGTGAAAATACATCAGCCTTGAGAGGGATGTCCTATCTGTGAAGACAGCTTGCATGAGCAAAGAATATACAGTAGCACTGCTGTGGGCTGCATTTGTGACGATTAAAAAAAACAAATAAATAAAACAAACTTCAATCCAATTTCAAGTTACAGTGACGTTAAATTAGACGCAAAATCTAAGCGATAGCAGCCTGTTATCATCCCTGCATCGCCGACACACTGTTAGCACAGCCACAGCAACACGGGGCTGCCGGTACTGGAGGAAAACAATTATTATCTCCAAATAGGGAAATTTTAATTAAAAGACTGGCAGAGTTTCATCTCAGTGTGACAACTCCATTATTTCTCAATGATAAAACAGTCTCCTAGCAGAACAAATTCAATTGGAATGGAGTGACTTCCACTGGCGGTTTAAGTGGGCAGGCCAAGCTAATCGTTTTCCTGACCTTGGCATTTTGATATCCAGGGGAAGTAGTGTGGTGAGGCCGAAATTAGCGTCATTATTCAAACGCGGTGTCGAGGGTAAGTCTGAGCTCAGTTGAGCAAAACTTTATTTAAACTATTTCTTTTTGAAACAAGGAATACTAAAGTTCAACAAATAAATTAAAAGGGCAACGCCGGCCTCTGTGCAGCCTGTTCATCCTCCTGTCGTCTCGCAAGCAACAAAGAAATAACCCCAGCTCTACTCACCCTGCCCCACATCCATAAATAATACCTTTATTTCATCGCTAAATCAAAATATTTAGGATACTTGATGTAATGAATCCAAACTAGTTGTAATTAGGCAAGCAGAAATAAATAAGCCACCCTTTTATTTTCTGATCTGCACATATCATTAATATGCTGTACTGGTCTTACCTTCATCTGGATCATTCCTGGCCGAAGCCTCCAGGAGCGCCACGCTGGCGGAAAACGACACATGTTTCTTGGGCTCTGATTGCTGGAGGCTGTTAGCAATGCGTCCCTTCTTGTCGGCCTTTCGCTTCTTGTTTTGCATCTCCTTCTCATACACAGCCCATCTCTTCAGCTGCTGGGTACGCCGCTTCTGGGCCGCCCGCAGTCTCTCCAGACTGGGCACCTTGTCCAGCTGCTGCAGCTCTTGGATCAGCTCCAGGTGGTTGGCCATGGTGCCAGGTTGGGGTGGGGGTGGACAGCAACACTGGGCGATGGTAAAGGGGTGAACTGGAAGAGAAGTAGGATTCTAGCGAGGGCTGCACCTCCGGCCGTGGCCTCCTCCCACGATCGTTATCATCCTTTCAGCGGCAGTGAACGACCTGGAAGAAGAGACGGAGGGAAAAGCTGAGCCACAAAATGCCAGCTATAAACTTTTTATCATCTGGAACTTTAATACACCAGTAAATAAAACGTGAAAGTTGTTTGATGCTTGTTATTCAAGCCGACTCTGGACTTTAAAGTTGTAAAAGCTCTACATTGCAGAGTCTATTGGGACACACTGACATTTAAAAGAAGTGCTGGTCTGACACACCACAGCAAAGTGCACAGAGCTGCATTCTGGTGTCCTAGTTAAACAGACCCCAGAACAAGCTACCAGTTAACAAGGCACCGAACCATCGTTTGAGTCTACTTTCTTTTGTCTGTTGTGAACAAATATGAAATCAATATTTTGTTCATGACCGCTTCACTTCTTTCACCAACTTGCATATTTTCACTTAAGAGAGAATCAAGAGCAAGAATGAGAGGTCACGGTTTCAATGTTTAACTGAACTGCATGGGTCATAGTCTTGGTGATCCACTTGCTTTGTGAGCTGTTAACGGGTTTTTCTACCATCCTCCATCAAGGCAAACCGCTTCCTGAACACTACAAGCAAGCGCCAGCACAATGAGAGAGAAAAAAAGCACCGGAGCAGCGAGTTGACGTGGGGACTTTTCATGTCAGCGCTGCATTTGTGTAAACATGAATAAAATGCATCTCTCCTTTTCTCTCTGACAATTGACAGCAGCACCGTGAGTGAATCAGCAAAAGCCCATTTTTCAGTTTCTCGTAATTTTTGTGGACATGCAGAAAAAACAGCTAACTGTGTGGTGAAACCTAAAGAGGAGACAACTTACTTTGGTCATTGTATAAAGATCAGCAGCTGCAAAAAGTTAAGCTGAGTAAATAAAGAATAAACATGCAGGAACAGTAAGTGGAAAGTGCAGTGATTGAGTTTTGTCAGGCTACTTCCTTTGAACAGCACTCACAACAATGTACGGACGTTTTAACGCCACGGCCAGAAAAACTTCTCATCAAGTCCGGCAGGATTATCACGCGATCGTTGATCATTTGTCACACAAACACACGCACACCAAAAACAAACAACACTAAGTAAATAGCTTGAAACGTCAACATCTGCATGCTGGATGCATGACACATGCTGGCTTCTTTTCAGTTACTTACCATCACGTAACCACTGATAAGCATTTCCCTGTGCCCGCAGCTGTTCACCAGTGAAACCTGTGCAGTCTGGCTGCATCCCCTGATGAAAGGCTCCACAATGCAAATCGCTGCTTTATGTATTCAGCCTCCACCAACCTCGTTCTACATTTCCTCTGCAGCACCAAAGTGCTAAAAACACGGACAGGAAGCAAGGAGCACAATCACTTCCTACAGCATCGCTTTCAGTCGCCAGCTTACCAGCACAGCGCGTCTGTCTCCGCTTGGCTCAACAGAAGTTTTCCGTTAACATTCTCAAGTGGCAGCCAAGTGAGCGGTGCAAAAATGTCATCACAGCACACAAATGAAACGAAACCTTGACACACCGTTGACTCTTAGGTGCATAAGAGTTTCCAGCACAAAGATGTGAGCAGGTTCTCACAGCTTCTCACTCAAAACCGACGAGATGGAGACAACGGGCCGTGATAGTAAATACTTAGTAAAGAATGTGTCATCACTCAAAGGTCGATGCAGGAGGATTAGCTGCAGGGTCTCAGATTATTCTGCAGGAATTTAAAATCAAAGCTGTCGGCAGTTCTTGCACCAGAGGTCGTTTAGGAAACTGACAGTGAACGCAGAATTCCTGTCTCAGTTTCACTTGTTGGTTTTTAAGATGGTCTGTATACTGTTAAGTATACATTAGTGCTACACAGATATGCAATGCACAAATACATGAAAAAACTACACACTTCATTAGAAGAATTATTAATGTTTTGCCTGTGAGCATACTCTGACAGACTACTACTTACTCCCACCGTACTGTGATAGTATCAACTCGGTGCATAAATACTGTGTGATATTGTTTGTTCTGTCAGAAGCATCTGTTCCTGCTCCTCCTCAAGGAGGCCCATGCATTCAAGTAAGGACATGAAACACACCGTGAAGCTCATCCCGAGGCCTATCACTGCTAACACAGGAAATGCACCATGCTGGGTAATAAGGACACCGCTTGGATGATGTGGAAGGTTACAGACAAGGGTTATAAACAATGTCACACACAGCAGCGCGCCTACACAACTTCATCTGCGATGAGTTTTATTTTTATATGTAGAAAGTGTAAACGACCTGCAGACTTGACTGTTTTGCTCGTATTATACTTTATATATTTAGCAAAGAGTATTAAAGTTTTTACTGTCCTATTTTATCGGCGAAATGAAAGTTTGCACAGCTGAACTGCAGCCAGAGAGACAGCCGCCCGTTTCTGGTTTATAGGGGCTGATTTTAGCGAACGAGCTGATGAGATAATAAACTCACACACGCACACGCCCTCGCAACACTGCTGCTCGGTTACAAAAGGAGCAAAAGATTTCTGATCATCCGCGAAAGTGGATATTGCACCTGCAATCGTGCCACGTCCAAAGTCACTTAAATTGCCTCTCTTCCCCGTTCCGATGCTCGGCTTGAACTTCAACAGCTCGTCTCTACTGTTTCTAAACGTACTGAGGTGTTGGCCTGTGCTGGACGGTGATTCGATATCTGCATTAGAAAGCACTTCAACAGATGTACCTATTAAAGTGGCCAGTTAATGCACAAATCATGGGAAATGAGTGTGAGATTCGGGATTTAACTCTAAAACCACGAGTTTTCAAATGAAGATGAAGGAAATGTCGATTAATAAACTGGGCCTAAAACCTCTTTAAAAAAAAAATGTATGAAGCCGTTTTATTTTACAACATATTGGATTTTACAATGTTAAAGTTTCCTCTGAGGTACAGTGAATGAGCCCATCCAGATCAAAATGGGCTTTATTAGCCTGAGAGTACAGTATTGCAGTATCATACAGATTCCTAGATGTAGTGCTGGGCGATATGGAAAAAATATTTATCACGATACGAATTATTTTATATCACAATAATGATATGTATCACGATATACCACCTGACCTGTGGTCATCTAGAAAGTATGCAGTCTGTAAACAGCAAGTGCCGAGGGTGCAGTCTTTGTTTTGAGTTACCGTAAAGTATGTCGCAAATCCGGGTGCACGTACAGCAGCACCAGGTCGCAAACCACAAGACGGAATTTCTTTGTGAAAAATATAATTTTTTATACTTTATTTTCTCTTGCATAAAGTTAAGAGCATGTACAGTGATAAGACAACACTAATATATTTGCCACAGGCTATTTAACCCTTTAAGACCTACCATAGAACCAAGGCCGCCAGAGCTTATCTTTATGCTTTTACATGCTGTAGTGCCATTTGTGGGAGCATTTCAAGTTTCCATATATCAATACAACCGTTATAGCCGAAATTTTAATAATATGTATGCATTAAGTCCATAGTAACTACATAAATTGCAAAAAATTGTAGTGCAATAAACTACAAAAAAATTGAAAATAGTTTGTTTTTTGCATATATTTCTAGTTAGAAAAATTTAAGAGGCTTATCCCTCAGAACTGTAAATACAAAAAGGTTGCACAAAATAATTTCCAACCACGAGAAATTTATTTTGAGTGTCTTCATAGTTTTATTTTTGAGATACACTAATTTTTATATAATACAGGAAAAATGAAAATAAATATTATAATGCATCAAAATAAACTATTTCCAACAGTGTAATTTGAGTTCTAAGCATCCCAGAAACGATACAGAAAAGCATAAAGTCAAACATGACTTTTAAAAACACCAACATAGGCTTATAAGGCCCTTTCGCGAAAATGACGTCACTTCCGGCTTCGGGCAGGTAATGGCGGACATGCGATAGTTCGCGCTGACGTATATGTCAACGTAGGAAGTGTTATTGAACATAGGCAAAGCGTGTTTCTGGAATATTCTCTTTTAGTTGCTGCAAGTGCTTCTTAAGCAATTTTTGCAAAGCTATATGTGGAAGGAAACCGTGACCTAGGGCATTCAGGGCTAATGGCATTAGATGTAAGTACAACTCCTCCGGTTTCACATGCAAAAAAAAAAAATGATTGCGCTACCTTACGTGGTTCCAGTTCTACAAGGATTTAAAAATAGTTAGGTAAAACGGAGTGTGCCTGCTCCGACCGGTTGTAAAGGGTTAATTATATATTTTATGTAATAATTTATATAATTTGGGTTAGAAACGATAGAAGACAAATGGCACGATAGACACTTTTCTATCGTCCATACGATATATATCATCATATCGCCCAGCACTACCTGGATGCATTTATTTGCTATATTGCATTTTGTATCTAGAAAGTAAATAATATTTAAATCGAGCCTGAGTTCCTTATACAGGAAGGAACAGCTCAACCCTGTCTTCAGAGTGAGGAATACAGCATCTCAAACACCTCCACCACCGAAGTTGGGTTTTTGGTAGCATTTGCCTGTTTGCATTTCATTCAGCAATTTGAATACATGTTCAGTGTTCCTGAATAAGTATATATTTCTTTTGGTGGAGACTTGTGCTCTCAGAGTGCTTCTTGTTTAAAACTGGTAACGGATCAGTGCTCCGTATCTGCAAATATTTAGAGCTAAGGTATCTGTATCGGATCGGAACAGGATCTGTTAGCGTAGATAAATGCATGTGTCACTCAGGTTAATGCATATTTGTGCATGCTAAGCAGCATCATCTTGTCAGCTTCTCAAAGGCATAAATTTAACTTTAAGAATTCATTAAATTTGAAATATGAATTTGAAATATACTTTTCTGTTAAAGAGAACAGTTTGTCTGCAGTCTGCAGGAGGAAAATGAAACCTTTTCCAGGAAACAGGCAAACAGCTCTAAAAATCAACACCTCCAAAACCAAGGTGTTGTGCACCCATCAGTTAAAAGTGGTCCTCTGTGCTATGTCAAGGCCCTGCCTACCTTCACAGCCTTGTCAGCGAGAACAATTCAGCACAAAATGACAGCAGTGCAAGCCCTGGCAAGG